TCCTGCGCGGGTACGGCTCGGCGGCGGAGATCTCCCGGATCTTGCAGTATCGCCCTACAACTCGCCTCTCGTTAGTGCCATAGCTCTGAAACGACGATTGCTGGCCGCGAGAGCTCCGACCAAACCAAACCACACGTGGTATCAATGGTATTATTTACAAGAAGCGGGATGGGCCGATACCGGCGCCCGCACTCCAGAGCTGAGGCCTCTCTCTCACGCCTCATGAGCAGCTCGCCGCGCCCCGTCCGTGGGTGGTGCCATGTCTCATCTGACACGTACCGGCGCAGTCTCTGAGACATCTCCGCCCGTGGTTGTTGTCCTGCCTCCGGCCATCTCCCAGACATCCCCGCCCGTGGGTGGTGTCCTGCCTCATCGGGCACGTACCGCCGCTGTCTCCGAGATATCCCCCCCGTGGGTGGTGTCCTGCCTCATCGGGCACGTACCGCCGCTGTCTCCGAGATATCCCCGCCCATGGGTGGTGCCCTGCCTCATCGGACACGCACCGCCGCTGTCTCCGAGAAATTCCCGCCCGTGGGTGGTGCCCTGCCTCATCGGACACGTACCGCCGCTGTCTCCGAGATATCCCCGCCCGTGGGTGGTGCCCTGCCTCATCGGACACGTAACGCCGCTGTCTCCGAGATATTCCCGCCCGTGGGTGGTGTCCTGGCTCATCGGGCACGTAACGCCGTTGTCTCCGAGATATCCCCACTCGTGGGTGGTGCCCTGCCTCATCGGACACGCACCGCCGCTGTCTCCGAGATATCCCCGCCCGTGGGTGGTGTCCTGCCTCATCGGGCACGTAACGCCGCTGTCTCTCGGACCGGTCGTCGACCGCACATCGACCTGGTCGCCGGCGGTGCCGAGGGCGGCGTCGCCGTCCGAGCGGGCGTCACGCGCGGCGTCGGTGCCGGTGCACCTTCCTCCCCGCCCTGGGCGTCCCGGCGCGATCAGGTCGGGTCAGGCCTGAGGTCAGATCGGCTCGGGTCAGGCCGGCCCGAGTCGGCAGGCCGCCTCCGGTCGTCGACGCGTCGCCGCCGGGGGCGTCGACCGGCGCCGGCCGCTGTTGGGGCTCTGGACCCTGCCGCGGGGGACAATCGATAGACAGGGCGCCTCGCTCGCCGGGCTGCGCGCCCCGCCGCCGGTGCGCGGCCCCGCTGCTCGCGATGCTGCGACGAGCCGGCCGCCCCTGCGCCGCCGCCCGAGCCGGCCGCCCTAGCGCCGCCGCCCGAGCCGGCGCGGCGCCCCACGTATGGTGCTGATTGGGCTGATTCGCCAAGCCCGTTTTGGTCGTCGGTGACCTTCCGGGCTTAGCGTTATATTTAATGCTGGGTATTTTGAAGGTGGAGATTAATTGGGTGTCGCGTCATTAGGTGCTGGGACGGAAGGTGGTTTGAAGGATTGCTATTCGCCTCTAAATCCATTACGAGTCACGTCCGCAGAGGAGTTGTTTGGAAGGCTCTTCCGCCTCCAGATCCTGTTATGGCGTGTAACCAGCGCATTATTTGACGCTGCATCCCTTGAGCTGTTCGTTTCGATGTGTTAATCCGCAGTAGATGTTGCCAGGGCGGCTGACGTCGGATGGACGGACGCCTCGACGCGGCGCGCGCGAATAAGTGGGGCTTCGGCATGCAAACGGCGCCGAAGGAAGCAAACAAGAGGGAATTTACGGCTTGGCTTGGCATCGCCGCGCTCAGTCTCTCCCAATGCATTCTGCCGGGGCTTCGAGTCTCTTATGAGGCCCATATGTCTCCGCCGACTTCAGGCGGGGCCTGGAATGAAAGAAAAACTGCGTGCGATTGTATTTTGTGCGCCACCTCTAGGGAGCCAATGCGTTCAAAATGTGTTGGGGCTGCTGTTTTAACGTTACATAGTTCGTGAATGAATAACGAAACCAGTCGAGATGAATGCAGATGTGTTCTACCACGGCCTTTTTCGTTATCGAGAGTTCCGTGGTTTTGAGGTGGATGAAAATAAAGTAAATCGTGTCCGTAAAGAAACACTTCGCACAACGCCATACGCCGAATGTGTCGTTGCACAATGTCACTGCGGATCTGCCTCGGTCCGCTTCATCCCGTTCCAGTCCAGTCATCTGCAGTGCGTTCGCTGTTGATGTTCTTCAGCCTCTCTGATCGTCATCACGCACGCAACACGTGTGGTGTTCCACCGCACGGGCATAATCTCCTGTTGTGGCGTACTTCA